GTTCTGTGGATCGGGCAAGTGTTTGACGTCATCCTCAAGCGAGGTTTCCTGCAGGTAGGTACACTGTGGAACGTGGAGTCTGCACAAAGCAAATTAGACTTTGATTTTGTAAATATTTGGTAACATTTATTTTGGAAAGCTCGGACAGTTTTTGCACGTCACACACCGTTACAGGTTACACTGGATAGTATGGCTATATGGCCAAAAATATGTGGACATCTGAAGATGGCACCCATGTTTGATTACTCTAAAACAATAATCATTAATTCTGCTATATCAAGACTGTTTGGGGATATTATTAAGCAGCATAATTAATGTTTTATGTGTGTGTGTTTGTGTGTGTGTAGCTGTCCCAATGGTCAGACCCAACCCAGCTGCTTTACCTGTTTGGACTACTGCACAAATGGACAATGTTCAGTGGAAACTCGCACACTGCTGCCTCAGTGCAAGTAAGATATGATCCCCCCACCCCCCATCCGTCTCCAACTAATCATACACACATTAACCTACTTTCTCTGTACTGTTGTTTTCTGTCTTTGAAACTCACACACACAGGGTACCTGCCAATTTTCTTAATTGCACCCTGCAAGTTAATAACAACCTGCATTCTGTATTTATACTGTATACAGATTAGGAATGGATGAAAATGGACCCAACTGCTCAGACAATAAATGCACATGCACCATTTCTACCCTTTGCTTATTAATTATGTTTGTATGTATTAACTGATATTCTATTTAAAAGTCTTTATAATTATTAGAAGTTATTAACTAGCCCAAATGTTTAAGGAAATGTTAAAAAAATAATGAAATATGTATCTTATATAAAACAGTAGTTTGAATTTAAATGGGTCAAGCGAGGATGCAGAGACGATAAGATAAAGCACGTACACATACACACATATTTTGTAACTCTGGCCTCATTGTGTGTTCAGGTGTCCTGTAGGATGGAGGGGATACAGATGTGAAATTGCAGCAGCTTCTATGGATTCTTCTGCTTCCAGTGGAAGTAAGTCACACAGTTCAGAGAGTTTTGTTAAGAAAACATGCACTTTGGTTCTATTTGCTCACATTATTTGCCTACTTTTTCAGGTACTGCCTCCATTGTCATCCCAGTGCTTCTGCTGCTGCTGCTGGCACTGCTGGTGGTCGGTGCCATCTTGTGGTACAAGCGGAGAATGCGCGGGTGAGTCCTGTTTTCAGAGATTTTAGATTCAAACTCCCATGTTTCATCTGTTCCTCACACCTATGCTATCTATCTTCTCTTTCTCTAACCTTTTGATAACCATCTATTTCCTGTCTCCCAGGTCTCTATGGCCGGGCAAATCTCGTTCTCAGTGCTCGCGGTAACTTCATAGGGTTACATAATTCACCTGTTGACCCACAAATCCTCCCCCTCCCCTCCCTAATATCCAATCAGTTTGCTTTTTGTCAGTCCATTTGTCCATTCTGTTGGTCAGTGTAGAAATCTGTCTTTGTCCTTGCCTGCCATTTCCTGTTTGCCTCCCATGGGGTTTCCCACCCAGCAACACGGGGACCTCTTGACTAGCTGAAGTTGCTTTGCTGGTGATACGCAAACAATTGAACAGTTTCGTCCTTCTTGCGTCTTCATACCTTCCCTTGTTTACATGTGTAAATGTTAGGCTTACACTATGTGCTTGCGTAGTAAATTCTACAAATGTTCATCTATGAAAAATGTTTATGTGCTTGCAAACAGTGAAAGTCCAGCATTCTCCACATCAGACATGCTGCAGTATATTCTCTGGGTTTGATCAAATGGCCTTTTGTCAAAAGCTCATTTGACAACCTTTAATATATGTCGTCTTGATTGTGTGGATTGTACGTTGCTGGTGCTGCGTCAGTACCTGGTTTATACCGAGTTATGATACTTTTCTAGCCACTCTGAATTCTTTACTTTAAGGTTTCTCCCAAAAATAGTTCATGATCTTTTTTTAAATGAGGGTTTAAATCTATTGCTTGGATGGTTAATCAGTTTGTTTATCTCTGTCTGTCTGCAGTGCAAAGGGCTTCCAGCACCACCGAATGACAAATGGAGCCATGAATGTTGAGATTGGAAACCCCGCCTATAAGATCTATGAAGGAGACCCTGACGATGACGCTGGGGAACTCCTGGATTCAGACTTTGCTTTGGATCCAGACAAGGTAAAACAACTAAAAGCACTCTTATATAAAGGGTCTGTTCAGCCAAATCATTAAAAAATATAAAAACATATTTTTATGAGTTTTATGTGCCTACATTTGAAAATCTGGGAGGCTGTGGTTGGATTTAATTTGTGCAGGCATTTCTTTGGTAGAAAGTAGTTCCAATAAAAGTTGTTTTGAAATAAGTCTTTCAATTATTCAGAGTAACTGGGACATTTTATTTGGAAAGTCAAGTATTTGACCCCAGTTTGTATTGGGGTGGTATCAGGAATCTCAGACTAGAATATGTGGAAAAACTGGGCTTGTAAAAGCGGTTTCAACGCCAGGTCGGGGGTAAGCAGCATAAAGATGGAAACAGTTAAAAGAACCAAACTGAAGTTTAATAAGTAAATGAAACTTTTGAAGTCGTGTCAGATGCTATTGATTGGTTAGGAGCAATTGATCGGTGATCCGATTTCCTGTAACAAAGAAAGAATAGACAGATATGCTATACGAAATAATAAACATAGAGGAAAAATAAACTATCTGCACAGGGTCTCGTCATGAGGGGAAATGTGTTGTGATTTTGGTGAACCAATGCTTTTAAGAGAGAAAATATGTTGGAGGGTTTTTTATTTTTTTTTATTTCTGTCAACTATCCTTTTAAAAGCACAAAATCCAGTAAATGCTACTTTCACATTTAAAGAATGTCGGCCTTTCTCATGCCCTTTGAGTCACCATGTAATTTTCTTTGCTCCGCAGCCCACCAACTTCACCAACCCAGTGTATGCCACCCTGTACATGGGCGCCCACAACAGCCGCAACTCTCTGGCCAGCACAGATGAAAAGAAGGAGCTTCTCTCCCAGGGTGACGAGGACATGAGTGACCCGCTGGCATAGAGCTCGGCATGGATTGAACTCAACATTGCCCTCCCCTGCCCAACCCAGTGCTGAGCCGACAAGCTCTCTCATCTTATGCCTTTACCAACTGAAAAGAAAAGCAACAAAAAAAAAAGCGAGAACACTGTATAAAATGTATAAAATGAAGGACTACTTTTTTAAGTGATTGCAGTATTATATTTTGTTCTTTGACAAAAAAAATCCTCTGGTGACAAAAAGGAACCATTTTATAGACATTTATTCAGTTCTTCTTTTTAATTTTGCTCACCTCCTCCTCACAACTCTCCCTCCCCTCTCACGCATATAGCCACTACCTCTGTGCAAATGTAAAAGATAGAGAGATACAAATGGCAGTGGAACAATTTTAATTTTTTATTTTTGTATGAATTGTATAGGGGGAAAAAAAGAATATTGTTCCATCCTAGAAAACGTTGCCAAGTCTTTGTTGTTCATGAAAGAGAGGAGAAATGTCAGTGCTCACTATGAATGCTTCCTGGATGCTGGTTCGGCTCAAGTCTTTCACATTATGTGTATATGTACGTTTGCTGCTGGAGGTCTAAAGGGAGACCGAGGCTGGGAGAGAAGTGAGAAGTTGTTATACTGCACATGTACACATGGAGGACTCGGCGTCGCAGGCAGTGTCTGTTCCATTGTCTCAAAGAACTACATTCAAGTGATTGTCTTTTACCTCCTTGCACAGACTAAAGTTATATATTTGCATATATATAAACCTATTAACAAAGTGTCTTGAAAATATACCCAGGAATACAAACATCAGTAACAAATAGCAGTCTGTACTTTTTAACTTTTTTTTTTTTTTTTAGAGTCATTGTATAATTGACATTCTCTGTGTCAGCAATGAATGAGTCAATGGCAGTGTGTGAGTGCGCTGGATGAAGATGATTGTAATAAAGTCCACATTCCAGGATGAAAAGTCTGGGATGGATATCCGTGGCCTTGGTTTAGCCTACTGCAGGACACTCTGGACAAGAGCCGTGTTTTGCTCTGAAACTGTTCTAGAAAGTTCTTTTTGGAGTGACGGCAAGCTTCTGTGAATTTTCCGGTCATCACTGAAAAACAATCTGCGACAAGTAATTAGCTGAGAATGGTTGCGTTTAGCTTATGTTCCATGTCTTTTGATTGTAAATGTACTTTCAGGAAAGGCCAGGGAGGCCGTTTGATGGTACTTACTTCTGTGGGAGTTTTTTCTTTCTTTTTTTTTTTTTTTTTAATTGTATTTAATTACATTGACATGTAATTTAGGTTAATGCTCATTGTTAAATGCATTCCCAGGAAGAGGACTGATCAGCTTCCTGATAAGCATTCCTTTGTTAATTCCTTTGCCTTGCTGCTAACGCTAACCATCTGTCCGTCAAACTGGTTTTTAGTCTTAAAAGTGTTGCTCTCTGTGTGTCTCACTGCTCACCACGCTGCTTTTAACTGAGCTTATCAGCCATACCTGCCGTATCACTCTGCATGGTGCTCACACACACACCCACCCTAGAGGAAACTCTGGCTTTGCCCCTCACTTGTTAACAGTATTCATCACTTTTTTTTTTACATCCTGCTCTGTTAGATTTTCACCAGACCATGTAAATTAGAATAATCATTTTTCAGTTGGAGAATTTCTTTTGGTGGCAAAAACCCACATGGATATTTGTGGTTCTGATTGTTTTGTTATGATTTTATTTCTTTTTGATATAAGAAATTAAATGGATTTTTATAGTAGAAATGTATGGTGGCTCTTGGCCGTTATTTGGAGAGATGGAGAGGAAAAGCAATCGTTATTTCTTGCTGGAATACATCAGAAATGAACATCGAGTATCCTTTTAAAAAGAAAAAGTTAAGAAATAAAACATGAACATGTAGTAATCCCTGTTTCGAATGTTGCTTCATCAAAGAACGACCAGCCTTTGTTTTTATACTCCTGAGCTGTAATGACAGTCTTTGGTCTTGTAGTTACATAATTCATCTTATTTATTAAACAGGAAGTGTCATCTTTCAGTCAACAGACAATAGCATGAAACATTTCTTCTAAAAGTACATTTCTTGATTTGAATGTACATTAATAGAAATGTCCACTTAAAGAATAGTGTCTCATACAATGTTGAGCCAAATTAAGTAGTGTAAAGATGTATCGCTCCCTTTGTGCCAATGTAAGTTTCAACAGGAGGAAATGCATCATCTCTATTAAAACAATGAGATTTAAAAAAGCTTCATACATAAGACCTCATAGGAATGGAAACGTCCTTCATCCATCACCACATCTATAGCAGGTTAATGTCATCTGGGCCCTTAAACAGCAGTCCATGTGGAGTCTTCTTCATACATTTGTCACTTCCCAAATGTCACTTTTTAAAGTGTGACAGAAAGTGTTGTCAAGGCATATAACATTTAGTTTTTTTAAGAACTACTTGGACGAGTTATGAGCTTTAGAGACGTAAATAAGAGAGTAATCTTTAAAATTATTATTCCCCTTACCTTTTAGTTGTATGCCCTTAAAGCTGGAAATTTCAACTGTTGCATATTATTGTCAGTATTATAAGGCTAATGTTATAGTACAAGGCAATAAAACATACAATCTTTAACAAATGAAAGATGTAAAATAAACAAATTATGGCTGACTTGTGAGAAATAACACTGTTTACACAAAAAAGGCACTTCTCAAGCACATGAGACATTCAAGAAATTTTGGTTTGGCTAGCTTGTCCAAAACAACCAGTGGAATGAATGGTCTTTCCTCCCAGATACATGCGACTGGAATCTAAAACAACTGTCAATATTAAGTCTTGATTGAATGTGTCAACTTGGCTTAATGTTAGGAAAAAGGTCCCCCGGATGTCTCATAATATCGAAGCTTCTCTGTGATTTGGAGGAAGGTTTTGCAAGTGTCTTCAAGGCAAACATCCCAGCAGCAGAGTTGGCATCTTCCCTTGGCTGCCTCCCAGTCTAAGTCCTGCTACGACTGCATAATCTGAGGAAATTAACGGTCTTGGGAATAAGATCCACATGTTGGCAGGCACTTGCTAGTGAAAGCACTGTTCTTCCTGCTTTGTGGTCCGCCAGTCCTTGACTCACCTCACCTGTCTTGTAATCGTCCTCTGACGGGTCTGCTTCTCAGTGGCACAGAGCAGGGACAGTCTTGGGTTTTGCAGTGAGACAGGAGGGACCCATTGTGCTTCTGTAATGATGCCTGCTCACTTAAAGTGGCTTTAAAGGGCCTCCATAAATAAATAAATTACCCAGCTAAAACAAGGGCTCTGTCCTGTCCCTCTTTTTCAGTCTTTTGTGATCTGCAGCCTCAGGGTTGAGACAGACCATCAGGACAAAGAGAGGAAGGTTATAACGGGGAGGGGAGTATGAGTGACGAATAAGTGGTTTAGGGTCTCTTCCAACCGCTCCGGATCAACGCGTCAGCTCGCAGGAAAGGCTGGTTTCGGAGATCTGTGAGTAGGGATGGAGAGAGGGGTGAGAGACGGGGGGGACACACATGTTAGAGGACCCAGAGGTCAATCTGCAAACTTGTGTCTACTTACTTTAGGTTCTTTTGCAGTGCTAAGAGTGCTATGTAGCTGAAATACACTCAGATGCTCAGTTTATTAGGTACACCTAATAAACTGTTGTGCTTCTATTATTTTGTCCACCTCATTTATATTAATGAGGGTAGGCTAAATAACAGAAACACCTCTCTGTATAATGCAATACCGTTCAACAGAACCACAAACTACCTTCTCTAGAATGATCATAAAGTTAAATAAAAACCTTAAACAGTTTGAACAATAATGGAACATTATAACCTTAATGTGTGCAGGATTTATTGCAGGACTGTTGTATTAGACTGCATTAGTTTTAGCTAGGTGTAGCCTACCTATTAAACTGGCAACTGAGTGTTTATTCTAGCATATTTCTGTCAAACAAACACTAATGTCTGCAGTTAAACTTGTGTGTAAACTGTGTATCAGAAATGTACAATTAGCAAATAAACAATGCAGACTTAATATTGAATGACACATTCTCATAACCTTGAATTTTAACTGGTAGCAGTGATACACAAAACAGTGAAATTCAAGGCTTTGGGAATGTGGTTGACATCTTTGTGACACTAATAATGCAGCAGTAATCATTATGACAGTTACAGTACAATGGTCAACAAGCTCTTCAGTTTGCTGAGCAACAATCAAACGAGTTGTGCTCATGAAGTAAAAGAAAACCTTTCAGCTCTGTAAAAAAAATTTGGATACAGACTGTATTCATGTTTTTGTGACTGACTGTGTGTGTGTGTGTGTGTGTGTGTGTGTGTGTGTGTGTTTCTTCTAGAGCCTGTTGACCAAATAGCTGTTCAGCACACCGCGGATGACAGTTAGCAAAGACAAAACATGGCGGACGTTGTTGACAGGTGAGAGGTGAATGAACACTGGACAACATGCAACACATAATAGGAGGGGGTGGGGATGATTATGATGATGATGATCATTGAAACTTAAGTGGCTTCTTAGAAAATTAAATAAATTAATGTTTTAATGGCTGTTGGGGCAAGTGATTTTTTCTAAGACTATGACTTCTTGATAAATCTTCAAGAATCTTGTTTTCTGACTATTGGGGTGTAAAGCAAATCTCAATGTCGTAAAGCATAATTTTTTATTTTATTTTTTTGCATCCAAAGCACTAGCTGAAGCAGCTGACATCACTGTAGCAGCACACAGGAGCTGGAGGGCCAAGCGGGCCGGGTTTCAGCCAGGCTACCTTCCTTACCCTCTCTTAGGAGTGGGAAATACTGTCATTAATCTTCTGTTCAGCTGGAAGGGGTAGAATGAAAAGTGGTGGTTGAGGAAAGAAGAGTCACATGTTAGCTGGAAACCAACACCAAACAAGTTAGTTTCATGGAACAAGGCATTGTTGATAAAAAAAACCCAGTAAATTAGCCAAACCTCTTTATATTATAATTGTTGAATTCAGCTCCATGAAAGGAATCTCTTAAAGGAAATATGCCATTATAATGCACAGCCTTTTACATGTGTCATGCACTTGATAATTTACAGTCTGACTGTACTGAGAGTGCTCCAACATATTTTTCACACATAAAATATGTTGACACATCTTTTCTGTGCCAGGCAAAGAGGTTTGGCTGACTCCTATCACCAGACGCCTGATAGGAGTCCTCTGAAGTAGAACACAAACAACCAATGACGGCCCAAGTTAGGGGGGGGGTTGGGTAGGTGACAGGGATCATGCTGCATGCACAGTGCGGTCAGGAGGCGTTCGAGAGACACCTGGACAACCTTGGCATTAGGGGCAAGGGCTAGCAGTTGGCGTCGTCACAGAGGTTGGCTTCACAGAAGAACCGTGAGCCGCGTTTAGCAGTGCGGGCTGTGAAGGGCACGCTCTTCAGTACTGGGGGAGGAGGGGGAGGGAGAGAAAACATGTCACACCTGAGACACTGCCCTTCTGGGGGAGGGGAGGGGGAACACTGGACCACCTGCAAATTTCTTTCAGGAGTAATGAACCTGAAAAAACTGGAGCTGTGTTCAGGTCGATGGAAGCAAACCTTGTATAAACCCTCAGGAGGATTTTAATAGGATTACGGGCAACACTTCACTTCAAGTCCCCCTATTTTACATTTATAAGCACTATATAAACACTTAACAAATGGTTTCTAACACACTATAATCTAGTCATAAGCAGATATATGTTTTTATTAATGTCAACAACTATAACTCTTCCTGTGGACACCAGTCATTGGAGGCTGGTGTATAAACAAACAATTAACAAATAAATGGTACTAAAACTATTATATAAAATAAGTCTCCCTACGAGAACTTATAATGGCTGACAAATACTGTACATTAACAAACTACATTATACATACATATGAACATATATTGTGTTTGTATACTACTTATAAATGCTAAATAGGAGGACTCAAAGTAAAGGATGCACTGAGCATGTATGGAGAGGCATCAGTTGCATAATAAACTGTTAACAGCTCTGATAGTAGTGGCATAGAAGCATTATTAACATTAATACAATAATTAATGCAACATTTATATTATTTTCATTTTAAGCACTGATTAATGATTGTGAAAAAAAACATCTGTTAACTTATGTCCTATCCTGAGGCTGTAGATATGCTTATTTTTCTCCAATTAAAGCCCTTACGTGTAGGATTTTACAATGCCACACTTTGGTGACTCCTAGTGGTGGATTCAAGAAAGACACTTGCATAATCCCCCAATCAGTTTTCACTGGCAATGTCTTATTTTTCTACAAACTAAAATCTCATTATAATACTGAATAATGCTATAATCACATAATAAATCTACACATAGTGGCTCCTCTAAATAAAGATCCTATACACTGAAATTAAACTGCCTGTGTGACTATCTACATATTGAGTCTCAACAGCTTTAGTGTTGCACATTTCAGAACTAACTAGACAGCATGTCATGGAATAACTAGCGACTGTTGTGCTGCTATGTGCTGTGCTCCAGATGTGGTGGTGTCTGGACCACGTAGCACATGGTGCACTTCAGAGGAGCTGAGCAGTGAATGACCACAGTCATCCTCGACCTGGGACGACCAGAGCTGCTGGCACCCACATGCGGTCTTTTTAGGGTGCTCTCTGGCCCACCTGTGATGATGTCCTCAATAGTGCCATCCTTTCCCTCGTACACTGGTCGGTGGTCTTTGGCTTGCCGCTTGCGCAGCTCTGCGATCAGCTCCTGCTGCTGATGCCTCTTCTTTTGGGCCTGGACCTACACCAGCAGAGAGGATATTTGTACTCTTCACTTGCTTTCTGGCACGCCACAAAGCTTTATTTAGCACTGAGTAAACATCTGATGGTTTCATTCAGCTCAGCAGCTCTGCGTGTACTGTGACTGTACCTTGGGGTCATGCTGTTTAGCCTCCTGAGCCAGTAACTTCTCTCTCATTGCTTGCTCCTGCTTTTTCCTCTGTTCATTTTGTTCCACTGCATCCTGTTGAAAAGAAAAAACCACACATTAAAAAATTTATTCTTTCTGCCGCCTACTTTTAAGCTTTTCAAACACACAACTACTCCACATTTTGGGAGTTAAATGTGTTTGCTTTCTTGCTGAGAGTTAGATGAGAAGACTGCTACCGATCTCAAATATTTCTACGTTAAATATGAAGCTACTGCCAGCAGCCAATTAGCTCAGCTTAGCAAAAAGACTGGAAACGGTGGGAAACAGCTCTGTCCAAAGCTAACTAAATCTGCCTTGCAGGACCTCTAAAGCTATTTTTTTAACGAAATCTGAGGTACTCAAGAGGGAATTATTTTACCTTTGAAGAGAGCCAGACTAACTGGTTCCCCCTGTTTCCAATATGTATGCTAAGCTATGCTAACTGGCTGCTGGCTGAAGACTTAGATTTAATGGACAGACTCATACAGTCTCATTGTATGTTGTTGCCAGGCTAATATCAGAAAGGTTGTGATTTTATTGTAAAATTTCACTGAATCAATAATTTTAAGTTACGGTTTGTTTCGTATCTTAACTACTACCTTTAACTTATTTCCAGGAAGCTCTGTAGTGGAGAGGAGTCATTTTTATTCCATTCTCTGTTCTCCTGGTTTTGTGTTTATAGTGAGTTTGGTTGTAACCTGTTTATTTTGGGTAGTTTATTTAGTACTGTGGTTGTATTTCGACTCAGTGCTGGCTGGTTTGTTACTTTGACTCTCACTGAAGGTACATAAGCTTCTATGTCTGGCATAAAATAATGAAAAAAGTAACAAACCAACATTTTTCACCAGGTCTTTTGTTATTTCCTTCTCACTTTGAGTGGTAACACGTGTATTTCCCAAATGTGGAACTATCCCTTTAAGTCACACGCACTCAGACAGACACACAAGCAGAAATCCTTGTGTTACACATTTCCTAAAACAGATCACATAAATCCAGTCTGAGAACAATCTCAGGAAGTGTGCTGTGTGGTGGGGCAGGGCGAGGCTGTCCGGGGGTAAAGGGGAGGAGGGGAGGAGGGGGAAAAGGGGAGGGGGGGGACCAGTCTAAACACCACAGCTGCAGCTCTAAAGTCAGACCCAGCTGGCCTTTCCTGTTATTTGGCCTCGGACTATACGCCACGTCCTGTGGCACAGAGGCAGCCAAAGCTCTGCCCTCCTCTGCTCTCACTGAGACTGACAACATCCAAGTCTGAAACCAGCAAACTTCCCCTCTGGGGAGCAGGAGAGAAAGCAGCACCCTGTCAGTACAGGAGGGGGGAAAGAAACAGATGCTGCATTTGCTTTCGTGTCCTCACCTTGTAGGCCTTGATGAAGCGCACAAACACGGGGAAGAACACTGAGGGTGGAGTCGTCTTGGCACTCTCTCCGAAGTAGTTCACCACATTGTTGAAGGCTTCCTAGAATTGGGAAGGAGGACAGTGCCAGAGTGGAAGCATTGTATGTAAACACTGTCGAGTTGGGAGTCATGATTGGTTGTTTGTTAGAGGTCAGTGAGCTGCATCTGGAACACAAGTTGGCTATTTTCACTTTTTTTCCTCCTTAGGTTAGAAGGTGAGGACAGTGTTGTGATACCTCTGCTGTCTTGGCGTCCTTCTGCAGCTTGTCCAGTTGTGAGTCACTTCCCTGGATGAAGCCTTTCAGGACTGAATGGTCATGGAGACTGCACTCCCTCCGAATCAGGTCCATGCCTTTTCCCAGCTCCCGAACGTCCAGCAGCACATTTTCCAGAGATACTTTTGTACACAGTCAAGACCGAATACATTACATTTAACGATCTGAGCATACTATTAACTAACTAAATGTTCTAATTTAACTGACATTTCCATTAACATATCTTTATAATGTTTTGTCTGAACTCACCTGCTGCAGCTTTATCCACAAAGTGCAGTTCATTGTGGAAGTTGGCCAGTTCAGGGTACTTCTCTTTTACAATGAGAGCTATGTAGTGGAGCAATGTCATCTTCCTGTCTGTAGACTTAGTGTCCAGCAGCTGTTAAACAATAAGAACGAATGACAATATCAGCAAAAGCACTGCACGAATGAACTGTGAGGCACATTTTTGTGTTGACTGCAATAAACTGAGCACCTCAAAAATGTTTCCAAGTTCTGCTGCATAATACTCACCAGATCAAGACTTTGTAATTTGAAGCCATAAACGCAGCCTCGCTTGCTGCTGTTCATGTAGTTTCCCAGGGCTAAGATGATCTACAAGGGAACCAGAAGAATGAATTAATATGCATGAGCAAACTAAAGATATTTCCTCTATATTTTAACTTTATTTTAGTCAGTTTTGTTAGTACCAAATATCGTTTCAGTTACTTTTTGTTTGTTTCTAGAGCCTAGTTTTTTAATAACCTTGGAACAAATAAACACTTCTTACCTCGAGCATTTTTTTCAATTTTGGCGAGGATTTCACTGAGCCAGAAGCAGCAATGATTGCATTGAGCTGTGGTGTGAGCATGCCAACGTTGTCAGTAAAGTTCCCAACGAAAGTGATGATGTTCATTCTCTGCGTGAGCCTCTCAATCTTGCTGAAAAATAACATGAAACGATCCTCCTCCGCTAGCTGGTCCAGTGGACGCCGCTCACGCTCGTACTGACGCATCACCTTCACCTCTGACTCCGTGGGCAGAAAACGCATCAGGCACTCCACAAAGTCGACAGGTAAGGCCTTGAGGTCAAACCTGAGTAAACATAAAATATATGAATAACTTGGAATTTCCCCATTGTGGGACAAATAAAGGAATATCTTATCTTGTTCAACCTTCTCTATGGTTCAGAAAGTCCAGGAAAAGTTCGTACTTCTCTATTGCTTTGCAGATCTCCTCAGTGGTCTTATTAGCCTTTCGCAGGGTGATGGCTAAGTTCTTGGAGCGATTGGCATCCAGAAGGGTGACTTTGTTTACTGCCTTCTGGGCTACTTTGCTCTTTGTGCAGGTAATATCCACAATGGGACCCTGTGCTCTGGTCTTAAACAGCTCCTCAAACTTCTCCAGATCCAGCTCCTGCACACATGGGACAGTTTAAAACATGTTTTTTCAATTAGCTTCATTCTATGAGTGATGGACTTCTACATGAACACACTGCTTTCTGCCAGTTTTGGAAATTTTACATTGGAGATAACTGTATTTGTTTTTGTCTGTGCTCTTCTCACTGAATTGAAGTTCGCAGGCTCTGTTGGAAAGAGGTGATGTCACATATTTCCAATCAGGATTTGGCAACATATGAATCAAAATGTGATGACAGTTTGCGGGTTGTTTCTTATGTTTCCAGCACTTTTAATCAAATCTGATCAAATCACACCTGCACAGTCCTGATGAAGTAGTTTACCTGAGCATTTTTGTGTTATAGTAAATAATACATAACATACACTTATTTAGTAAATGATTGAATGATATAGAGATTTTTTCAGGACTTTTTTGCAGATTTATTTGCTTGACTTACCTCTAACACACGTTCATCATCAATCTCATTGAAGACTGTGCCATTGATCTGATTGGGCTTCAAGGCCGTCCAGTTAAACACAGGCAGGCGGAACTTGGTCTTGATGGGCTTCTTGATTCTGATAGCTGTAGTCAATAATTAAATAGAACATATAAATGAGTTATCATTTGCTCTACTAGCTCATGTGGAATCACACGCACACAAGTACAAGTATAAAGGTGCATGACAAAAATATTTTATTTTGTGTCAGCTCTTACCTGAAAGACCCAGACTCAGGATAACAGAGGGAGACGCGTCTGGCAGAGGTGGCGCGAGAGGAGGTGGCGGTGGTGGGACTGGTGCATTCGGGCCTGGAATTAATTTACAAGAAAATATTAAAATGCTTTTTACTGGAACACCAGAACAAAAGACCTGAGATCAATCATACATTATCCTTTCTATCTTTGTGATCCTTTATTATTCTCTTCATATCATATCACATCATCTAATTTCAGTATAAGCCTGTATTAAATGTTTTGTAAGCTCTGTGTTTTACGTTCTATGCGGGGCCTAAAATTGCTCTTTCGCTTGGTGCTGTTTCTCCTGTGCTACAGTCTGCTGCACACTGACACACAAAGGAAACCAGCCTTGTATTTCCTTTTCCTGTCTGGGGTAAAGAACACTGTTGCGACGCATCACCTGGCTTGGCACACATGAACAAAGAAGGGGAACTGAAAATAGACCTCCTCTGAGGGTCTGCAGTCATATGCATCAACTTTCACATATATGTGTCACCAGACATAGTCACTCTGAGTCATGGTCTATTACCTAAGGCAGAGGGAAGAGGAGGAGGAGGCGGTGGAGGTGGGGGAGGAGGTGGAGGAGCTTCACTGGCTGGTGGCAAACTGGTGTCTGGTCCTCCTGGTTCTGTTAACCCAGCTGTTGAACCCAAAGGCAGCTGCCCAAAGTCACTCAGTGGGATCCCAAGCCTGCTACTCCCAACACCGCCCACACCCCCGACTCCCAGCGGCTCAATGGCAATGTCTCCATCAGGCTTCTTGTGCAAACGGATGGTGCCTTGCTGTTCCAGCTCCAGCAGCCGCCTCTCGATGTTGAAGTGCCTCTGGAAGGCGGCATCCTTCTCCTTGATCACCCTCCTCAGGGTGTTGACCTGGGTGTTGGTTGACTCAAAGGTCTCCTGAACAATCACCAGGGGGCGACAAAGAGCACACAATGAGTATATGTGCCAAAGAAACATCCTGTTTCCTGCTGACCTAATTTGCTATCACAGCAATTTAGCTACATGCATCTGAAACTGATCTTTGCTAACACACAGTGAGGTGAAGTGAAGCCTTTTTATGATGCGAGGCAGACGAGCAATATTACATCATTACGACCGCCAGCTTACCCGTATAACTTGCAGGTCCTTATCTTTCTGAATGAGCACCTTCTCCAGATCAGCTACTTTCATCATTGTTTCATTCTCAACCTCCAGCAGCTTCTCCGTCACCTGCAGAAGAAGACAGACGGAACAATAGAGATGAGAGGTGGCAAATTCAAGAATCGATCCAAAGCATTGGGCATCTTTCCCAGCTCGGCTCCCTCCCACTCCCTCCCCTATACACTGTGCATCATCAATAAGAAACAAGATATACCCAGCACCATGACGCAGCAAGAGCATGACACAGCTTTAAGTTTTGATTTTGAACAGATTACACATGTTGTATAGGAATTCACAGGGAATCTTCACCATCATCCTCCCCCACCATTCCTGACCCCTGAGAGCAGAGTTTGTTATGAAATTCCTAGAGTGATGTCAGGGGCTGCCTACGACCTTCCCATGTGAAGAAGGTCTTTGCAAAGCAGCGTGGGATACGAAGGCAACTGCCCAGAAAGAATGAGCCAACACAAGAACAATATTGAGATTGTTTCACGTGCAGTACTTTCCAGCGTTCTCCACCCCGTCATTATTCTGAACCACTTGTGAAATGCAAACACTGAGTAGATTTCTAATCACCACGTAGAAACAGCCAAGTTAAGTACATGGCTGGTGAACCTCAACAATCTCATAAATGGGCCCAGAGAGCCGTGTTGGTGGTCCAGACTGGGTGGTGCACTTACATGGGACAGGTGCTCCTCCAGTTCCTCCACCTTCTCCAGAGCTGCATTCTTCGTCTCCGCATCTTCCAACAGACCACCCACGTCAAACACGTTATCCAGGTAGGCCTGGATCTGCACCGACAGCTTGTCACTCTCCGTGTGTTTGCATTTCTTAAATGTGGGCAAATGAATTAGCATTAGTGATACTCTACACACACTGTACAAATAGTCTCCACTCAAGCATATGTTCAAGCACAGTATCGTCACCTTACCTCCAGATAATCATCTAGTCCCAGCTTGGTGAATTCATACTGCAAATGGACTCTGAAGTTCATGTCCTCGACTGAATGGACCACAATGTTGATGAACTGCATGCAAGCAACCTGGACCACAGACACAAACAGATTTGGATCCAGCTACCTTTAATTGGATAGATAGACTGACACACATCCCACATATCCACAATACAGAGCTTATCTTACCATGTAGTCAATGTTTCCCTCCTCACAGCGGAAGTAATCCATCAGTCTCTCAAAGCGATGCTTCTCCTTACACACCTAAAATACAAAGGATGCAGCAATACAGAGATTGTTCTTTGAATCCATAGTGGCCATTTACAAGTATACATAAGTATTTAAAAAAACTAATATATTTTAGATGAAATGTGGGAAGAAACCTTTGAGACCAGACATAGAATAAAAAAGCCCAACATGCAGATATTTTAAAACTCCTTGTCTTATGTCCAAATATATAATGATTTATGATTTATGTAGGAGGGGGGTGTGGCATGGTAGGGGACCATTATATTTTGGGACAGCACAAAACTCCTACAGTATTGGCAAAATGTTAAAAGACATTTACAGTTGAGAGGATTGTGTTGGTTTATGTAATGGAGAACATCACAGTAACACTGCAATTGAAAACAAAAGTTTTAAAGAAGAAATCAGCCCCACTTGAACTGTGTATATAAGAGTATAACCACATCTATTATTTATTTCTACTTATCATCAAAATCATATATCATCTATGCTTGTCAGCTGTTCTGTTGGATCTTGAGTTGATGCAATAAAAATAAGCAAAACATTTATGAAAAAAAAACATCCCAGGTCCTTTAAAGTCTGACTATGTATCTACTGTATTATACTGATTGATGTGGCAAATCATAGCATAATATAGTATTTTGTTATTATCAAATACATTCCAGGATCAAACATAATCCACCCCAAGAGTTTTGCTATATGTAAACAGAGGATACTTTCCTCCATTTGCAACAACAACTTCTGCTTATTATCATAATTCATGGGAAGGGAAGCCAACAAAAGATAAAAACATGGGAGAGATTTTTTTTAGACAGTTTCCTGCACAAAAATACACTGAAAGGGGAAAGGGAAAAAGAGTGTTTCCAAGTTCTAAAAAGTGATGCTTTTTCCAGTGCCATACAAATCCATGCCTATTTCTGACTATCCCCACTAGTAATAGTGGTAGTTGTGGACCTAAGATGTGATTACTGGTACAGCTGTGTTTGAATACCATAGCTGGCCTTTCAAAGACCTGTCACCTTGTATTAATGTATCATTTTAACTAATACCACTACAGAAATACCATCTTTGTTTTGACTAGTGGGTTGATTAGCTCCTGCATCTCTCTGGGGCTTTTTGACTGCGAGGTAATTGTCTGGTTCCGGTGTTTAGATGACTGTGCAGGCAGAAACCGAGAGGCTAAGCAAACCGTTGTGGTCCACTAGCTCCCACCAGAGAGTTGATCCTTATCATTGTTCAAGGTTGGCTCACATCTGGTGTCTTAATGTGACTAATAACCCCAGACAGGCCACCATAGAACATTGCTTACACCCTCACTACACATGAAAACTCCCAGAGCTCCTCAACTTCCTTCCCTTTACACTTATGCCCTAATGCACCCCAGTGATGTGAAAAATGGTGGCAATTTAATTAATGTCAGTTAGATTATTATTTTTAGAACTCACAGGGTTAGCCATGTATTACTACCAATTTATAAACAGTGCAACTTTAGGTGGTAATGGTTCTAATTTCATGAAAAGGTTGCTTTGGGCACCTCTTTGAAGTTGTCAAATGCTGAGAGGATGATCTCGTGACCGCCTCGGACTAGACAGACGGCAGCCAGCAGCTCAAGGACCAAGGCTTTTGTCCTGGAAGTACAGGAGACACTCGTTAAGACAACATAACTGGATTAAGTTAAACTGAAAACTCTAACGCGCTTTGCCAAAGCACAATATTTACACTTTCTGCACTACCACAATTTATATCTTAAAAACAAATGCACATACATCAACATACAGTTATAATCTTTAATTAATACATACTGAAGTCTAGAGCAAGGACAGGTCTTTACAGCTTTTTAAGTGTTTACCCTCCTCCCCCTCATTATGAAGTGATCAGCCCTAGCGGTTTACCACTAATCTTCCTTTAGTAAACATTCCTTTAACAGGCTGTATATACGCCTCTGATCCCCGACTTCAGAGAGAAGCTGAGCCCCATGGAGAATGAAAGGCATATCATATGAACTGGCTGCAGGGTTTCCCCTATTGTTTGACCCAGCCCTGCGTCTATGGAGACGGGGCCTCAGTTCTTACCGTGAGTTCTTATTGTTCAAGCTGAGAGCAATTTCATTGACTGCGTGTGCGTGAGACATGACCATATTGAAGCCATACTGCATGAAGAAGACAGAGAGACAGAGAACAGGATGTGGTCAGACACAGGAAACACATAATCCTCACGTTTATAACACAGATCTATGTCAGATATATATCTATCTCTACAATACTGTTCTCTTCAAGAGGAGTGTCACTTTTTGGTACCTGGTAGTTCATGATTGCTCTCAAGCACATGATGCACACATGCACATCATCTTTTTGGCTCACAAGGCGGGAGTTCTTGATGGTTTTGCTGTTCGAAACCGTGCCATAGCTGCAACAGATGGCAAAAGTTAATATATCTGGTAGAGATTAAGTTCACACTGTGTGTTTTACTTTGAATTTGATGTTTAACCATAGCTTGTTTATTTTTTTTCTGAAGTTTATCTGGTATTCATGTGACTCTTGTTTTAAGTGTGTCACATAGTGAGAGGCAGAGAGAGAAAATTACAGAGAGCGAGGTTCTGACAGAAAAAGCCTAGATGGCTTTTGAGGTTACAGATGCATTATGGGAGATGCCTGGTTTCCTTGCTGCTGTCAAGAGACCGAGGTCTATGCACACAGACTGCTATTATGTAACTGCACTGCAAAGTCATCATGTGCACATAATATTACTACTTGTGCAGTTTATAAATGGCTTATACAGTGTCTTGTGATCCAGCATTTCTGAATTGTGTACAACATTTTCTAAGGTAATACTATAAGATACATATATATGTATATATATATACATAACATGATACATGTCATACTGATACAGATTCAGCAGCATCCTAATCTAAATTCTATGAAGCCTGAACGTTATTCTTGTGGATAATTTTCTGTTCACTAGATTGATGTTTATTTACTCCGGTCAGACTTCACGTCTTGCGTCTCTTCATCTCCTGCCTGTGTGTGGCTCAGTGACGAAGAAGAGAATCACAACTGTCCAACATATGCTGCTGCAGCTCACAGCTGGCTCTGATCTGAAGACAGTGCAGAAGCACATCTGGACAGATGAGGGAGGACCATTAACAAAGAGAGACGCATAGCGCAAAAGGTCGAAGACTTTAGTTTCTATCTCTAATACACCGCCTTGAGGTCAAGAGAGAGGTCAGCAGACCCATAACATATCAGCCATTCAGGCATTGTCCTGAAATAAAACAGAACCAAGACAACTGGCTTGCATGCTAATTCATGTTCATAGCATTCAAGGTTAGCAGAGCGAGGCAATAACAGACATAGGTAACAGCGGGGGAGCTAGCTTAGCAATACGTACCGGAGGACAGACTGGCGGGCAGAGCGCACCAGTGTGTTGCAGAAGGGTTGGGTGCTCGTATGATGCAGATCCTCTATAGACCTGCTCCAAGATTTTGCCTTGTCCAAAAAGCCATCCTCCCCATTCTCCAGCCCCTCAAAATCCAACCTGGGCCACAGACAGACAGACAGACAAGCCAACAGAGAGGCACAGGGGTGTAGATGACAGGCAAGGGCGAGGTTAGGTCAGCGAGGCAGTTTGACAGAGAGGCCACGGGTTATCACAAGAACTGTCATCAAGCTGCACGATAAAGCTCAGCACAGAGATTCTGTCCCATTCAGGAAAGGTTTAGCACATTACTACACCACATAGCATCTATCTACAAACACATTCAGTCTGCCAAGTATGCAACCAGGCATACAAACACATCCAGAGAATGCAAGAATGCATTTTGCCCATTTTTAGATGCACAAGCAGTTTATTACAGGCTCTACAGGATACAACATGTTAACTCAGCAGCTGGATCCACTGCCCAACCCAGTTCCTTAGGAAAGGTTTCGGCTACAGTCATGAGAGATATGTGTGTGTGTATAAAGTGTACACGTGTAAAAGTACTCACATAACAGCACACTGGGCAAAGGAGAGGTACTCCACCAGGACGTCAAGACCTCTGTTCTCATCATTGAGGAACTCCCTAACCCACCTGTGACGCATGGGAACAGAGAAAGGTTAGCAGGGCACCAAATCAAGAACACACCCTTATCCTTTAGGACTGCATTTTACCCATTAATGGAGAAACAGAGAGACAAAGAGAAAATGGAGATTGGAACGCTTAAAGGATTCATCTGATTTATAACAACTTGGGTCTTGTTTTGTTTCCCCACCACTAATAACATTTATTTGTTTTATTAGGTGCATGACTCCTGAAATAATGGGGAAAAATGACAAATCTTCACTCGGATGGACTAAATGCTACATGAAGTGGAGGTATATGTAGACGTGTGTTTTATTGTTACTATATGTTTAGATATACATCTTTACACAGATTTGTATGTATGTATAAGTACACATATATCTACCCTGATGACTGAGCTGCAACAATTGGTTGATCAAAAAAACAAAAACAAGAATCACTGACTATTTTGATAGTCAATTCATTGTTTAAGGCATTTTTCAAGCAAAAATGCCAAACATTTAATGGTTCTACATTGTCAAATGAGAAAATCTGGTGTTTTGGACTGTTTGTCAGACAAAACAAGACATCTATTGGCGTCACATTGTGCTCTAGGATATTGTTATGAAAATTTTTCACTGTTATCTGAAAATTATTGGCAGATTAATCAGAAACAGAATCACTTTTTATTGGCCAGGCCATCGATAATTAAAAAAATATCTGTTAGTTGCAGCCCTACTTCATAGGAACAATATATATATATTTTTTTTCCTTCTTTATTATTATTTTTTATTTATTTTGTTAGTACACTGGTTTTAACACAGTCCCCCAGGTTAACAAACACATTTACTCATTCAGTTTTACCAGATCTGGCTAAACTTTCAGTGTGTTTGCAACCTGTCTGGTCGTATGACAGCCTGTGTTTCTTCCCTATGTGGCTTACTGTTGAAGCAATGCCACCATGTTCCAATATTTTAGCAATGATTGCGAGAATAATAATATCAACTGACAACTGACAGAAATGAAAGCCAGAATTACAAAACTTAGACCCAAGTTGTAATAAAGCAGAATTATCCTTTAAGGCAGCTCTGAAGGGGGTCTCCCCTCCCCTGACTGAAAGAACTTGGCAGGAATGTCTCGGAAAGTAAACTAGAGCAAGGCTTCAGATTTCTTCTCCATTTAACTCGTTTTTTGGAGAGAGAAACAACTCCAAACAAAGGAATTCCCATTGCGATGAGAGAAAGAATGTGGAGGGCATATGGTTAAAGGAGCTAGGCTCAGGTCGAACCCCTGACAGTCAACAGTATTTAGTCTGCCTCCCCTACAGACCCCCTTCACCTCTTCCCCACTTCTTCAAGGATCTCCAGGGGGTGGACGGGATTGGGGTAAAAGGTTCTTAAAATAGTCCTGAAGTTCTGGTTATGATGACAGACTGCTAGTCAGCCAATGGTGAGTCAGGCAGGAAAGCAATCAAGGGCCTCAAAGTAGCGGAGGGAGGGAAGAAGGAAAGGGAAGAGAGGTGAGAAGAACAGGGGAAAGCAAGCAAAGCAGTAAGAAGTAAGATTTGGGTGCGGGAGGGAAGAAGAGGAGGGGGTGAACAAGGAGGCAGGCTTGATCATCAGTTTCCTGTCTACCTACCCCCCTCCCCTGTCTCCGTCCTTGCCTCTGACCCCTCACTCCTTCCTCTCTCCCTCCCTTTACTTTCTCTCCAAACCAGTTGCTATTTCAGATTTTCTTGGCAATCTCAGGAATAACACATCAGAAAGGGCCCAGATTCAGACACACACAATAAACCAGCATCTGTTACACTCAATCCCACCCACAAAAGTCTTCTGAAAATAGCTTCCTTTTTTCTTTGCCTGTGAGTCTGTCTGGGAAATGCATTGAAACAGACCTTTATTGATGAAGCCTAATAGAATATGAGTTATTCTTGGAGCTCAATGAACACTATGGAAAATCAAAGTCTTTTTACAGGCTCCTTTTGGTTTGGGAATTCAGTGTCAAGTCACTGCAGCACATTTTTTATGTGGAAGTATCAGTGTGACATTGGATTATAATGTCAAGGATCACGTCTGCAACACTGAAGATAAAGGCTAGAAAGGCTTAACACAACATCCACAGACACAGTGTGAACTGTACAGTATTGAATGCCTATTGTCTATTACAAAATATGACTAAATATTACAAAGACATTGTTTGCTTTAAAATGTGAGAAATGTGTAAACATAAAACTATCCTTGTGTATGCGTGTGTGTGTGTGTATGTGTGTGTGTGTGTGTGTGTGTGTGTGTGTGTGTGTGTGTGTGTGTGTGTGTGTGTGTGTGTGTGTGTGTGTGTGTGTTTTCGTGCTTTTCACTGGGTTCAGCATTGGTCAGCCAGGCTTCCTGTCCCTCTGGCATACACAACAAAGCTTCCTGCTCAACACTATGGGGGAGTGGACGAGGCAGCACAATGGCTACCATCTGGGCATTATGAGGACCAGCTCTATGAAGTAGAGCTGCAGAGCTTGGCAAGTTAAAACAATGGGGGATATCTGGGCACCAGAGAGAGCTCTGGGTCCCTGCAGCAGCCAGAGCACAGAAAAGACTATTCTTTACACGGGGAGACAATAATGTGGTTTCCTTAAGCTTCATGCACATAAACAGATCTGTGTAATTCACAGATTAAAATGGGAGAGATAAGTATTGATTACCCAATGTGGTTTGTCCTCAGTGAGATCTCCAGCTCCCTCAAGACTTTTGTAGATTCCTGCACCCGCCTGCGAAACTTCTGTAACAGAGAGTTTTGCTACAAATGTATCATTGTGTAAATACTACTTAATAAAGTGAGTGTACAGGATCCTTTTACAAGAATACTGACATATCACAATGGATAGTTTTAATAAAAGAAGTATTTAAATCAATACGGCAGAACCAGATATATTGTCTTTTTTAGTCGATGCATTATTCTTTCTTATCTTCTTCCTTGGTGCCTACGTTACCCACAATGCAAGGTGAATGCTGACCGTTCATTCAGAGATTCAGGTGTGTTATCCTAATAGCAGCTAATGTAGCTGTAAAGTAGTAAATGAGGAGCTGGCTAAAGGGGCAAACTCACTACTTTTTAACTCCACACCTCCAGACAATTTTTTTGACTTATCGTCTTCAGCCCCAAGTGACTCAAGTGATATCACTTGAGGCCATTTATCTCAGATTTCATGCAGCTCCCTTTGGAGCCACAAAAGGCTTTATAAAACATATGGAGTTTCCTTTTAAGCAGAAACTTTATATGAAAAGTCATTTGTACTGTCCCACCTTTCGCGTGACTCCAGGGTCTAAGTATCCTCGTAGCTTCTGGATGTAGGTGTGAGGGGGATTCTTCACCTGAAACCTCTCCTGAAGATACACAACAGAGTAAGAATTGTAATGTGCTGAAGTTATTCTGCTGGGTGCAGAATGAGTCATGTGATGATGGCTGGTGTGCCTATATTATGATTGCTGGTTTTGTCATTTATGAATTGGAGCTAATGAATGCACCTGGTCGCAGATAAGGTCCCACTTCTTCTCATTGTCGTACTGTCTGAGGAGCCGGGCTTTGTCTGGAGGAAGGTTCATAGAATTCTGAAAATATAAAATGTAAGCATTAGTTTCATTTATAACCACATATTTCCTTTTTCTGTTTATTTGCCTATTTATAGCAGCTGTGTCTGTGAGTGACGCTTTTCAGGACTCTGGCGCCAACAGCAGAGCACAGCCGAAATTTGGGGACTTACACCATGACCTCACTTCCTGTGTTGACTCTCAGCATCCTGCCGCAGGAGATGATCCGAATCTCCTCTGTACTCCCAAGTCTTAGTATCGCTCAGGGAACACTTTTCTTTTAACCACAACTAGCCACTATCAAACAGGCCTATAACTGGACCTGTCATCTAATCCACTCATAAAAACACTTCAACGCCACACGAGACGTCCTGAGGCAGCCAGTTTACTGTGGCTCAAATTAAACCCTAAATGCTCTAATTTGTGTTTGGAAACCAACCCACTTAGGCGTTTTATGTCCTTGTGACAACTGTAAAGAAATAACACAAACTATACGACAAGTTTTTTGACTAATAGCTTCCTTGACAGAGCCAAGAGCTTGTAAACAGGGGTTGAGACGGAAATCTTAAAAATGAGGAAGCACAGCGATATGAGGGAGCTCACCAGCCCCAGAAACTGATCACCCTAGCGTTTCTCTTTGAAGAGACATGAGGGATTGTTTGCACTGGGAACCCTCATTTACACCCATATCAACAGAACCCCGTAATCCCGGCCACAAACAGCCTGTCAGCTTGACTTTTAACCCGCAGCTATAACTCAGCCTCAAATCCCAAAAAACGCAACACCCTATTAACCCATCCCCGGCCGAATGTGATGTTCACACTGGCATTTTGCTACTGATGGTGTGTTTGATAGATGGAAAATAACATATACAGGTTCCTATGACAACAGTTGCGTCACTGGTAGGAGTGGAATATCACATGTGAGTATTTTAAAATAAGTTTTCCACATCGGGAGCACATTGCTCACGCTATCAGCACATCATGAATCACGTTGTCAAAAAAAGACAAAGGTAAGGAAATATTTATTTTTATGGAGCTGACTAATAATGTCACAATAAAAAGCATATTTATTTTAATCACAAATTTCTAAACAGACTCAAAAACATCTGCAGCAACCTTAAGCAGCCAGTGGATGCCACAGAAAAGCCCTTTATGAACATGCAAAAATGCAAAAATTCAATGTCTGACAAAGCTATGAGAGGCTATAACTGCAGTGGAAAGCAGTGCAAAGATTTCACATATGGGGCCTTTGACATAACCTGCTTTATAAATCCCACACAGGAGAGAAGAGAGAAGCAACATGCATACCAGATGTCCAGAATTACAGGAGGAATGTGTCCTGTTTATAATAGTAGTTTATAGTAGTACATTTTCTCTCTTGTCTGACCCCCAAGCTGCTCTCTCTCCTCCTCTGTCTCTCCTGGGAGAAATTTTACCAACAGGAGTCTTAAGGAAAGTCGTATTAGGAAGTGAAGAGGACTATCTCCCATTAGTATCTGTCGCTAATAAATTATCTATCTCTGAGGATTTTTAACAAAGACTGGATACTACCCACAGTTTTATTTAAAACTATTTTTAAAAGAAACAAATGGATTCTTCTGAATGTATTAATTATTTAACTTTAATTAGTCACTGATTGTAAACTTACACTAGTACAGTTAATAATAGTAATTTAAATCATTACAATTTACTATTGAGCTGAAGACATTTGTAAATGAATCAATTATAGTAAATATTTTCTGGTCACAGCTTCTCAGTTGGTGGATTTAATGATTTTCACAGTTGTATATCATTGTAAACTGAATATCTTTAGGTTTTGGACTGTTGGTCAGACAAAAGTTTTGAAGACGTCACTTTGGGGTCTGCGAAACTGTAATTTTCAGATTTTTCAGACAAAACAACTACAAAACAAAATACAGAATAACCGTCCACCAAAGTTTAAGTGGATTGATCCATAGTCATATCCATAATAAAGAAATGAATAATAAGTACAAATTGCACTAAGTGGATCTCTTTAATGCACTCCAGATAATGTTCCATGGGCTTAAGTCTAGATATAAACACCTGAAGGGTAAATGAAAAAATTAGCTCAGATATCTACTCCAGAATCTGTCCAGGCCCCAAGCCTAGTTCCTTTGTTTTCTCAGTCAGTCATGCATACTAAAGTAGAACTGTGGGGCAAATCGGCGAAGAGCAAGGTCCCCTTTTGTAGTAATGTAATTCTGAATTACTGGAAAACATGAAGACCAGACACACAGGCTCATCCATTTAGTAAAGAAAAAAGATCAATACAAAGTCAAAACCTGCGCTGTTCTTAGATATTGAAAAGGTTTCAGTTGAAAAAACATTAATTAGAAGTAAAAAGAAAATTCAATCATGATCAGTAAATGAAATAGATACCATTATGAGCAATAAAGACACACTGAAGACTCTGGTGTTTAATACTGTTTTTGCTCTTTGTCAGTTAGAGCCTCGGGTTATATAAACAAATACAGGTGGGACTGTGTGCAGATGTGCATGGAGCCACAAATGTTTAAAAAAAATGGGTATAAACAGAAGTTTCTCCTGCGAAAAGGCAAAAAGGAGAGGGGATGTTTCCTCTCTGACTACATTTGGGTCATTTGAGCCAACTAACCAAATTTAGGTAATTTCATTTCACTTTCTCCCACAGTGATACAATCTTGCACTTCCTGTGTTTATAAGAAGCCAAAAAGAAGTCATTTAATGGGAGAGAGGGAGCAGTGGCACTTTGTAGTTTTGGATTTACAGGCCCATTTTAGGGGTAAAATACTACAGAAATGCCAAAAATGTTTGGTGCTTGTTATGTTGCCATGTTGCCCACGCACGCTCTCCTCCAGCAAGGACTTTCTTGTTTGACCTGAGACTGGCTCGACAAAGGATTCAATGTGGAGCTTTGTTTTGATTTGGTGCTGTGCCATTCCCATCCTTTGACATTTGAGCTATTTTTTTCCTCACAGAAAATCTCTAACAATGGCTGATGGGCTGGGTCAGCGTATGCCCCCTGGTGCTGTGTAGAGCAAAATCCAGTTAAAACATAACACCAGTACACTGTACAACCAGATTAACTGGTTCTATTATCAACAATATCTCTCCAATCATTAGGTCCCCATTGTGAACCAGAACAGGAGACGGAGTTTCCAACCAGAGCCACAGAGGCTACAGAATACTAATGTAATGAAAACTCCACTGTATTAAACTCTTATATGGTTAAACTTGTTAACTTGTTTTTTTTTTGTTTGTTTGTTTTTTATGTAGAGATGTCTTGCACACACATCTCAGTTACAAAAAAGAAGTAAATAGATGCAGTGACAAAAGCTATAATGGAAGAAATAAGAGTGGGGAAGATTAGTTAGTTGACTAACAGAAATTGAATCAACATTCATTTAGATTCAATGATTAACCTAAAAAACATTAGCTGGTTTTAGCTTCATACATATGAGAAACGTTGCTTTACTCTGTTTTAATATCACTGCAAATTGAATACACGTGAGTACAAAAGAAGCAATTTGAAGACGTTACTGCAGGCTCCGAAAAATTATGTTGGGCACCTTTAACTATTTTGTGACAATTCATAGACTAAAGAACTAAACAATTACTAAAAAAGATTAACCATTTAATTGATAGTGAAAATAGTGTTTGTTTACAGCCCTTGGAGAGATAACAGGTAACTAGCTTAAAAAAAGATAAAAGTGTTACGCACAAACAAAGGAAAAAACACAAAGTGGTAGTAAGTGTTTGGAGGTGAAAGGATGTTGTGGAGGAGATTTAAGTACTGGAGTAGCACAAGGCCAACAGAGAGGGCATAAACTCTAAAACAGAGAGACATTTGAGCCACTGACAAAGGAAGACAGAGGTTTTTAAGACTCAACAGTTAAAGTAGTTGAGGGGGTCAGGTTGCAGGTTAAGGAGGCATGGAGAGTCCAAGAGAGCCATCAGGGACTCAGCAGAGTGCTCAAGTCACGCACAGACCCCTACAACTGAGGGGGGATGCTGCAGAGCTGGTCACTTCAGACATCAGAGTCAACAGGGCAACTCCATCTGCCCTAAACTGGACAGCTTCCTAATCCGACCTGATTTACAATTAGCCTTGAGGTGAGCTTACGACTTGCTCCAGCCAGAGATTCCCAGAGAGACAAATGGAAAAGAGTGACAGGATGTTTCCTCCCCCTGATCTTTCTCACAGCTTCACACTTTCAGTCAGGATAAGATATAACACCACCAGACTAAATTACTCTTAATGTTAGAGCCCTGCCTGCAGACTTCCCTCAACCTGTTTGTTTTTGGAGAGGACACTGTATTGCCAGAGCTGTTGCTGTTGCTCCCAGGAATGCAACAGAAGTTGATTCTGCAAGACGTAGCTGTGTTTTCTTCTTTAGTGTACACACTAGGATAATTAAAGATTAGAAAAACCTGAAATATTTACTTGTTAGTTGTTTCATTTTTATGTGTTTAAGTTTGCTAACCTTGTCTCAAACGCATGGAAGAGAAGGCAACCCAGATTTGAACCCTGGGCAGCTGCAACAAGGCCAGCTCTACCAGGTGACCTATCCAGAATAAATGTTTTTATCAGTGATTTCAGAAATTTCTTGTAGGCAGTGGAGGTCTGTGTTTTAAGTTTTTTTGTGTTGTTTGAAAGTGCATGTGCAGCATTCTGGATCTGGCTTACATGAATGTGTGGTGGCTTGTACGCTGATGCAAGCTGGGCATAATTGTATGCATGACACAACAACAAACTTCATAAATGAGCTTTGCCTTAAATCCAATTTTACAGACTCAAACAACATTTCAATGGCCTACCAAGCAAATGCATTCAATGTGATTCTCTCTTTTGTGCTCTCTCAGCGAGCTGGAAAGGCAGAGTCTGTGTTTTTTATCTATTTTGATAGGTTTACACAGGCCAGACTTAGTTGTCATCAGCTCATAGGGAAAGGAGTGGGTGGCTAAAGAGCTCCCTATCCTAACCCTACGCTGGACAGAGCCTGTGGCAGTTCAGTCATT